CGCACCGGACCTCAGTCAGCGGCAGCAGCACTTGGCGCAAGGGTTTTGCGAGTACCTTATGGCCTGTAAATCACCCATGGGTCTGGTGTCATAGTTGTACCATGCAACCCAGGCGTTTGTCTTGAGGGTCAAGTATAACATTATCCCAGACGCTGCGCTGCGTCATGAAATCGCCATCACTCTACACCTGTGCCCCGAATCGCTGTGGGCGGTACCGATGGCGATCTTGTCCCTGTATGTCGAGGAGAGTGTAACCCTGGAGTACACGGTGTACGAACTCAAGCGCTTCAACCTGTTTGTGGCGTACGTGACACTGACCGAGGTGCCATTGGCACAGCTCACACTGTTAGTTGCACTCGCCGCGGCCGTCTTAATGGACGTCGATGTTGAGAGTATAAGGTATGACGACTATTGGAATACACTGGCCGGTGGCCTGTACGTATCGGACGATTTTTTCGGGTTTGTGAAGCGAGGGATCTTTGATGCCGCCATTATCCCAAACACATCACGTCCAAGGTCAGCGAATGAAGGGCGTCGGGACACAGCCCTGTTCTACTTTGGCTATCTCGCCGGACTCTTCCCACTACAACACGCCGACCAGATCGTACGTGATTCCAAACGACCCACGCTACCCGTCGATGCAAAACACATCTTGAGGACGAGACAAACCTACCTGGTGCTGCCGAGCAGCTATAAGTTTAAGAGTATAGCGACACCCCAGGTTCTAGGTACCGTGAAATCCAGCACTCACCAGTTTACATTAAAATGTGACCTCAAGAATCTATACATGTACCACCACGATCCAATGGGTCATGTGGACAGCTCGAACATGCTCATGTACCAGCGTCGAAAGCGCATGGTGACGCTCACATCGCTGCTACCGATTCTTGCTCTACTCTAGGAACCACTCGCAAGGAAGGAAGCAAATCTCCCCCGCGTGGACACTAAGGCCCGCCATACTGGGCCACTAATGTATATGTACAGCAATGAGACGGGACTCTCTGATCCGGATTTCGAGTCACCCCCGCAACAGGAGTTTAAGGCTCGCTTCTTTTTTCTAAGTCGAAATAATAATTAGACAAAATCGCCTAAGTCAACGCGATTGTCTGGTTTTGGCTAATAATAATAAATTAAAAATTTATGTCATTTATATAATACGGAATGATATCGCAGCCAAAATCACCACCACCAAGAACGACACAATCACAAAGAACAACGATCTCGAGTTTAACTCTTCAACCAACCTCTTTGTCCGCATGTCCAAATTCTGGTCGTCGGTATACGTGCAGTATTTGTTCATGTCTCCGGCGGTTTTCTTGCACTCAACATCAGTTCCCGTCTTACCCTGAGTGGTGCACGTTCCGGCCGTAAACCGCTTTCCAAAAACGGACTCTTTGTCGCACTTCATCCCGACACGGTTGTACTCGTATTTGACGTCAGCGGCCGTTACCGTAGCGGGTTTGGTCGCAGAGTCTACCTTGTCGCTCTCGTACATGCAAAAGTTATGCTTTGTACCGTCACGTATGCATTCCGTGTCGGTCCCCATACCACTCTTATGGCCGTGGCGTCGTTGATGGGCGGTGCGCTGAATCCGTGGTTTGTGCGCACGTACATTGACACATTGACCGGTTCATCTCAAGACAAGGATAAAGACAACCAGGTTCAGGATTTTTTTTCAGACGACGACACCATGGGGTCGCGGACTTCAACAAGGCTCTGTGTAAGATGCGCGCGGGTAACTATCCTACTCTGTCCATGTCCACCCTGGCCATGCTAGAGACACTGTATTTCCGGGTGACCGGAACGTACGGTAGGTTGAGTGTCGCGTACCACCGATTCATGGCCACGGAATTCTGGGAGTACCTACAGGTCATACATTTACGTAAAGGAATCCCGAACCGTCGAGGAGGACGTTGCCGTTACTCACGCTCGCGTATTAGGTGCTAGTCTGTACAATGCGTATAGCTATCTGCTCAAGACTCTGGGTGGCGGTGTTGATGATGATGATGATGATGATGATGAAGATGATGATGCTGAAATTGATGACGATTCTGCCGGATTGACCTCCACGCTAAACCGACCGCTAGTATCCACACTTATGGACACCGCCATGACCCCAGACCGCACCTCTGTGTTCCATTCGCAGGCTACCTTTTTAGCAGAGATTGAGACTCGGACCTCGGGTACACGGGCGGTCAAAGTGGCGGATACGGGTTCAGCGACCCCGGGCCGGAAACGGGGGGTTAGTAGTCGCGCGGCCAAGAAAGCTTACGCGGCTGCCGTGGCGTTTTCGAACCCTGACACAATGTGCCGTGAGCTAGCTGCCGCGCTGGAAGTACTGATGGTACACGCGACCATCAGTGCCCTGTTGCCGGCAAAGACAGTCTCCGACGTTGCATCCGGTATGGTCGAAGAAGCTCAGGAAAAAAAAAAATCCTCTAAGAGGGCGCATGACCACTTTGTCTACCCGACTTGGATCAAGCCGACAATGAGCAAGGCACGTGCGCTGGATAGATTTCTAGACGAAATATTGGATAATATGCCGCGAGCGAGATGGTACGAGCCCGACCCCAACGACAGTGTGTTGTCAAACTTCAACGGTGACTTGGTGGATAACTGGGATCCGCCGGTACCTGTGGGCACCAAATATACTACGGCCTGCCCGCCCACCACTGTACCAGTCGTTTCGACCAAGCTTTACGTGTTTCCGACACCCAGCCGACTGTCACACATTATTATCGGAGGGCATACCCGATTACTAGATCACCTGGACCTAGACCTAGATGGTCTTGACACTATCAAGGGGTACACGGGTCTGGCCACACCATTTGTCGCGGTGTGTGTGTTTAGGAAGTCGACCCTTAACCGACCAATGCACAACGTGCTGCTAAACGCACCGGAATATGCGGATCAGTCGCTGTTACCGAAGTTGCCCAAGCTGGCCATGCAACTCAGCGTTGGTAAGACGCGCGGTGGGTCTAAGGCCGTTCTGGTTGACAAGAAATTATGCGACGAAGACACGTGTGAACTGCCGCCGGTCCGGGTTGTGAACTTTGCGATCCCGTTCGATCACTTAAATAAGCACTATCTACTTCGCACGAACATTCGTCAGAAGTCCAAGATGTGCGAGTACGAGACTATCCGGGTGTTGAACAACAAGTCCCACGCGGAAAAAAAAAGTACGTGTGCTTTGTCAACCACGCCACGGATGCGGTCTGGGCGATTGTGTGGCATTTTTGCAACGAGTTTAAGCGGTACCTGCAATACAAACGGTCGACCGTAGAGGAGGCATATGTCTTGACTGGGCGTCCACGGTATACAAAGCTCACGGCCAATGCGTTTGGGTTGAAGGAGTTCGAGATGGATGTCGCGTGTGGATCCAAGTCTGAAGCGATTGAGACCGGCGGATATGCAGACGACGCACAGTCAGATGTAGACACAACCACAGCCGCAGCCACGGTGGCATTTGGGGGGTTAACTGTGGGGGACAATCCGCCATTGTCATTATTGTCGAACACGACGACGATGACGACGACGACCATCACCACCACCACTACTAACAAGAATAAGGTAATGGACATTGTTGTCAGTGCTCCATGGCAGCAGCCGCCTAAGCGTCGCAGGCTGAAGAGGATGTCGGAGGTGGAGGCGACGTCGTCGGACCACACTATTCCACCTCTAACACATGTTGACGTGGAAAGTATGGGTGTGGATGCGTTTATGGAACTCGGCAACAGCCTGTTGAATCCACCGGACCTGATTATTCCGGACAGTGCGCAACACAGTGATTCCGAGATGCTGTGTACACCCCAACCAAAGTCGCGTGGGTGTAATAAGCGTCGTGGTCGTAAGCGTGAGGTGAGTGGCACATCTAACGTGCACGAGGACTTGGCTACAGTGTCTGAGGTCGAGGCTGAGACTGAGGCTGATGGTAGTAGTATCAGTGATGATGATGATGATGATGATGATGGTGGTGTTGGTGGTAGCGATATGGGGTTCTAGGGGTTTTAGGGATGTGGGGTTTGAGGTTGCAAAGCGGATTTGGAAATTGTAAATAAAACGTGGATGTGTGTTTAAAATTCAAAATTCAAAATAAATAGATTGAGGGTTTTCAAGTACGAGTTAACAATATTGAAAAATAATGAAATAGCGAAATTACTAGATAGGTCTGGTTATTTCTGTTTTTGAATTTTACTCACACACCCGTTTCAAGAAACCGACAAAAACCACTTAAACAGAATCACACTTTGAACAACAACACACAACCAACTGTTTGAATAATAACATAAAAAACAAAAACAATATCAATGTCTTGGAAAGTAGGAACCACCAACGTGCGTCTGCGCCGTAACGCCGGCACCACGAACCAATACATTAATGCGACCGCCATTGGCATGGATGCCGGTTCCGCCGACCAGAGGTCCGGCAGCGTGGCCGTTGGCAATTCGGCGGGCCATGACACACAGGGTGCCTCATCAGTCGCTATCGGGGAAGACGTGGGGTCGGATACCCAGGGTCCAGATTCGGTTGCCATAGGTAAGGCTGCCGGTCAAACCACGTAGGGCAATTTGGCGATTGCTGTGGGGATTGGTGCGGGTCAGACGACACAGGGTTTAAATTCGGTAGCGATGGGGTTGCGAGCTGGTGAGACAAATCTGGGTGGGAGCTGTGTCGCCGTGGGGCGCGCGTCCGGTGAAACAACCCAGGGTGTTTATGCGGTGGCTATAGGAACAGCAGCTGGGGGAAATACATAGGGTGAAAGATCGGTGGCCATGGATGTAAACGCGGGCTTAACAACCCAGGGTAATTCGGCCGTGGCTATAGGATCAGATGTGGGAATGATAACCCAGGGTAATTCGGCCGTGGCTATAGGTCAGGTCTCCGGGAGAGACATACAGGGGGAGTATTCCGTGGCTATAGGTGGTAGCGCGGGTTATCTTAACCAGGGTGTTTCGTCAGTGGCTATCGGGCACGAGGCCGGCAAAACGAGACTGGGTGAAAATGCGGTGGCGGTGGGTAGACAAGCGGGTGAAACGACACAAGGTACGAAATCGGTGGCCGTAGGCTACTTGGCGGCCAACGCAAGTCAATCATATGATGCCGTAGCCGTCGAAAATAGTGCAGGTATGACAAGCCAGGGTGCAAGCATCGTGGCCATTGGCTTCGCCGCAGGACAAGTAACTTAGGCATACAACACGGTGGCAATTGGGGTTCTCGCTGGTAACACGGACCAAGCCAACAACTGTGTTGCGATTGGTTCTAACGCTGTAAAACCAACACAGGGTGCTTCGTCAGTCGCCATTGGACACTCGGGTGTGACAGACCAGGGTTATAATTCGGTGGCGATTGGCAACTTGGCGGAAGAAACAACCCAGGGTTATAATTCGGTGGCGATTGGCAACTTAGCGGGAGAAACAAACAAGGGTATACAGGCGGTGGCCATTGGTACTTCTGCGGGTGAAACGACCCAAGGTGTACTTTCGATTGCTGTAGGGCAGAACGCGGGTGGGGAAAACCAGAGTGATATAGCGCTTGCCATAGGGTACAATGCTGGTAATACCAATCAGAGGTTCAATGCAGTGGCTTTAGGTAAATCCGCTGGACAAACAGAACAGTTTTCTCATTCTGTTGCAATTGGAGATAGGGCAGCGTCTACAGACCAGGGGGTTAGCGCAGTTTCTATAGGACACGGTGCGGGTAATACCACACAGGGTGGCTATGGTGTGGCAGTTGGATACTATACAGGATATACCGACCAGGGCAATCGGGCAGTTTCTATAGGGTACAATTCGGGCAAAGACGCACAGGGTGTGGGTGCAGTAGCTCTAGGTATAGGTGCGGGTGGTACAAACCAGGGTATGAGATCAATTGCTGTTGGTTTTGGAGCGGAACAAAACGAACAAGGTGTAGCCTCAATTGCTGTTGGTTTAAGAGCAGGAGAAACCAAACAGGGTGAGAGCGTGGTGGCCATTGGTTCCTACGCATGCTATAAGGCATCGGCAGACAACACTATTACGCTGAATGCAACTGGTGTGAATTTATCAAACACGGTCGCCAACTCGCTGATGAGTCCCAACGCGCTGACGTACAACCCTGCGACCGACGAGATTACGTACACCTTGTTGACGACTGCAACCAAGGAGGACATTATCTCGTTGACACGCGACGCCGGCAGCATTCTGGGCCAGCTGGAGGTCAAGGAATTCAACTACATCAACAAGTGCAAGTACATCCAGTACGGTACACCCGTAACGGCCGAGCCGTTTGCCAGCTGGCTGAGCACTGAGAAATTGGACGCTGCTGGATGGGCGGCCAAGCTGGCGATATCCGGTGGCGCTGCGGCCGAGTTCGAAAACGTCCCTGACGAAGACAACCCGGTGATCCAGCAAATTTATGCCGACTACGTGTTTGTTGTGGAAGCGGTGCCCGCGACAATCGTCGACAAGGACGATGCGCACTTTGGGTTTATGGCCGCGGATGTGCAAACTGTTCATCCGGAACTCGTGTACAGCGACGTTGACGGCAACGCGCTGGATATCAAATGGAACAACATTACGACGCTGCTGGTCAAGAAGATTCAAGCACTAGCCGCCCAGGTTGACGCACAGGAACAAAACCCCTAAACTTGCTGGACAAGTCTTCTGGGGGGTTTTAGAAATAATTCGAACACAAGACTAACATTACGTCGCTGCTGGTCAAGGAGATTCAGCATCTGCGCGCAGACCTTGTATCGACACGAGCCGAACTGGCCGCCCGGATTGACGCGCTGGAACAAAATCCCTAAACTTTTTTTTGAAAATACGCCCCACAGCGACGCCACCCCCGACCCAACAGCCACCGCGTTCTCACCCTGAGATACAGTTGCTGCAACGTTTCCAACCGCTACAGCATATGACCCCTGACTACCACCAGCAGTTTCTGATTCTACCGCTATCGAACGCACACCCTGGTCTACAGCCCCGGTGTTAAGGCCCAGCGCAATGCTTCCTGCACCTTGGTTGCTTAGCCTCGCAGCGCTACCCACGGCAATCGCAGAGTTGCCCTGTGTCGTCTGTCCCGCAACCCTCCCAATCGCGACGGCGCGCGTTGATTGTGAGCCAACACTTGCGTTCTGCCCAATGGCCACTGAATCCGAACCCTGGTCCATATTACCCGCTTCCGAACCCACGGCAATCGCAGCGAACGCCAGGTTACTATACCCCGCACTGCGTCCAACAGCCACCCCGCGTCCCGCTTGATTTATGGAGCCAGCTTCCGGTCCAATAGCCGTCGCATTCATGCCCATGTGTCTCTTTGCCCGCTTCAAAGCCTATAGCGACGGCATTTTCACTCTGCGTGTCCATCCCCGCATCAGATCCAATGGCCACGGAACTTTCACCTTGCGTGTCATTTCCCGCCGAATTGCCAATCGCCACACTTCCCGACGCCTGATTTGTCGTGCCGGCGTCCATACCTATGGCGGTCGCGTCACTGGAATAGTTCGTGGTGCCGGCGTTACGGCCCAGTCGCACGTTAGTGGTCCCTACTTTCCAAGACATGTTTTTTTTATTACTAGGGTTTAGTTGTTTGATGTTTGTTATAAAGTATTTTTTTCTTTCAAAAACAGTTACAGTAAGCTGTGCTGAAAAACCCACATAAGTGAAGGCAATTTATATGTTTATTTTGAACGAAAATTGGTAGCTAAATGTACGTTGTAAAGGGCTCGATCGGCATATCTTCGACGCCCAGTAATTCTTCGAGTAGTTTTACCTGATCCATTTTTTAGACTGATTATATTTATCTCTCGTGGTAGAGGTACATGTACCTTTAGGGTATATACATATTTTGCCTCAATGGTAGAGGTACATGTACCTTTAGGGTATATACATATTTTGCCTCAATGATAGAGGTACATGTACCTTTAAGATACATACATATTTTGTCTCAATGGTAATGCGATTTGTAAACAGCAGCGTGGAAACCACCCTGTACTACGAGCGTTCGGGTGTTTTCTAGGTGCTCTGACGTCCGCGACTTGCTTGTACCATTGACCTTGACAACCGTGTTGGATAGTTGATTGTTCATGTCGGCTATATCGGATCGTTCAAGTCGGTGATGTCAAGGTCCGAGCACCCCTCGGTGCCGAAATGTTACGACATGTATGACCAGATGCCCGCCCTCGCGACGAGATGTCGTCTGTTGGTCCGTACACTCGAACGGTATCACCGTTTGAGTCGGGTCTATTTGTGACTCGTGAACTTGTGATACGATTTGTAAATATCGTACACGAGGCCACATCGGCTGCTTTTCTGCCGCCTGTGTCCGGTTCAGCTCAACTTCTCGCATTCTCTCTATACGTTCTGCGTGCTCCAGTGATTCCCGTATGTACTACGACGCTACGCTCAAAGAGGTTGTGTCCGGTTTAAACGGACACAAAATTGCAACAACAAAAAATTCACCGCTTGTGTCCAGTTCAAACGGACACAAAATTGCAAAATCACCGCTTGTGTCCGGTTCAAACGGACACAAAATTGCACGAGTGTGACATACAAAAGAGGCGAGTTTACATTTGGCATGAAATAAAGGCATTTTTCGATTTGGCATAAAAAAAATGGTAAATATGCCACTAAATAAAGAGTATTTGGTGTGTAAGGTCTATAGTTGTAAACACTGTAGCACCTTCCATCCTTC